CATCGCAGTGCCCCATGGGTCTCCCGAGTGGCGCAGTGGTCTAAGGCACTGCAACTCAGTGCTAGCTGTGTCACTAGAGATCCTGGTTCGTATCCAGGCTCCGTCGTAGCCGGCCGCGACTGGGAGACCCATGGGCGGCGCACAATTGGCCCAGCGTCGTCCAGGGTATGGGAGGGAATGGCCAGCAGGGATGTAGCTCAGTTGGTAGAGCATGGCGTTTGCAATGCCAGGGTTGTGGGTTCGATTCCCACGGGGGGGGGGCAGTATGAAAACAAAAAACAAAAAAAACATAAGAAATAATATAATAAATAAATAATAATGTATGCACTCACTACCTGTAAGTCGCTCTGGATAAGAGCGTCTGCTAAATGACTAAAATGTATTTATTAATATTTAGATGATGTTGCAGTAATATTTAGTAGTATTTTGATTATTTAGATGAGGTTGCAGTAGTATTTAGTAGTATTTATATGATGTTGCAGTAGTTTTTAGTAGTATTTTGATTATTTAGATGATGTTGCAGTAGTATTTAGTTGTATTTAGTAGTATATAGATTACGTTGCAGTAGTATTTAGTAGTATTTAGATCATTTAGATGATGTTCCAGTAGTATTTAGTAGTATATAGATTATGTTACAGTAGTATTTAGTTGTATGTAGATGATGTTGCAGTAGTATTTAGATGATTTTAATGATTTAGCAGTAGTATTTAGGGCAAATGTCAACACCTGTGACACGGCTTCTCTGCCTCTATTTATGTATGTGTCTGTGACTTTATTGCCATCTGTGCTTTTGTACCTCATCACTGAGAAATCTGATGAGGTACATGAGGTACATGAGGTACATCAGATTTCCTCTCAGGATTTTGTTTGTCCATCTCAGAGGCAGTCGGTCCCAGACATTCACCTTGACTTATTTTCTCTACAGTTCCCTTTCACCACACTTTCAAGTTCATCATCATTTATTTCATCTGTAGCCTAATAAACTGCATGGTTTCCCGAGTTGTAGTGGGAGCACCACACAACATATCATCGCGTGACTCCAAGTTGACTTCGATATGATGGTTATTATATCAATATTTGCACATTAAAGTGTTTCCACTGCCATTTCAAGCATAATACATTTTACAGACACAAAAAAGATCCCACCTTTTCTAGCGTTTTTGGGTTTGTCGACATTTGGAAAGTTTACCGACAAATGTTCTGTTTCCATCAGGCCTTTTTTTTTTCCCAACATGCACTTTGCTCCCATAAAACGTTTGGATGGAAACCTGTTTAGTGAAACCCTTCTGAGTGTGTCCCAAATGGCAGCCTAGTACACTATATACTAGTACACTATATAGAGACTTTTAACCAGAAGAAGAAAGGGTAAAGATTAGGGAATAGGGAATAGGGCACAACATTAGGCTTCTGACGTACGGAAAGTATTCAGACCCCTTGACTTTTTCCACATTTTGAAATGCCTTATTCTAAAATGTATTAAATAGTTTTTTCCCCTCATCAATCTGCACACAATACCCCATAATAACAAAGCAAAAACCTGAAGGAGCTTTGACAACGACTACAGCCTCGAGTCTTCTTGGGTATGACGCTACAAGCTTGGCACACCTGTATTTGGGGATTTTCTCCCATTCTTCTCTGCAGATCCTCTCAACCTCTGTCAGGTTGGATGGGGAGCGTCACTGCACAGCTATTTTCTGGTCTCTCCAGAGATGTTAGATCGGGTTGAAGTCCGGGCTCTGGCTGGGCCACTCAAGGACATTCAGAGACTTGTCTCGAAGCCACTCCTGCGTTGTCTTGGCTGTGTGCTTAGTGTCATTGTCTTGTTGGAAGGTGAACCTTTGCCTCAGTCTGAGGTCCTGAGCGCTCTGGAGCAGGTTTTCATTAAGGATCTCTCTGTACTTTGCTCCTTTCATCTTTGCCTCGATCCTGACTAGTCTCCCAGTCCCAGCCGCTGAAAAACATCCCCACAGCATGATGCTGCCACCACCATGCTTCACCGTAGGGATGGTGCCAGGTTTCCTCCAGACGTGACGCTTGGCATTCAGGCCAAAGAGTTCAATCTTGGTTTCATCAGACCAGAGAATCTTGTTTCTCATGGTCTGAGAGTCCTTTAGATGCCTTTTGGCAAACTCCAAGTGGGCTGTCATGTGCCTTTTACTGAGGAGTGGCTTCCGTCTGGCGACTCCACCATAAAGTCCTGATTGGTGGAGTGCTGCAGAGATGGTTGTCCTTCTGGAAGGTTCTCCCATCTCCACAGAGGAACTCTAGAGCTCTGTCAGAGTGACCATCGGGTTCTTGGTCACCTCCCTGACCAAGGCCCTTCTCCCCCGATTGCTCAGTTTGGCCGGGTGGCCACTGTGTTCTTGGGGACCTTCAATGCTGCAGACATTTATTGGTACCCTTCCCCAGATCTGTGCCTCGACACAATCCTGTCTCGGAGCTCTAAGGACAATTCCTTCGACCTCATGGCTTGGTTTTTGCTCTGACATGCACTGTCAACTGTGGGACCTTTTATAGACAGGTGTGTGCCTTTCCAAATCATGTCCAATCAATTGAATTTACCACAGGTGGACTCCAATCAAGTTGTAGAAACATCTCAAGGATGATCAATGGAAAGAGGATGCTCCTGAGCTCAATTTCGAGTCTCATTGCAAAGGGTCTGAATACTTATGTAAATAAGGTATTTCTGTTTTTTATTAGTAATACATTTGCTACAATTTCTAAAAACCTGTTTTCGCTTCGTCATTATGGGGTATTGTGTGTAGATTGCCAAGGATTTGTATTTATTTAATCCATTTTAGAATAAGGCTGTAATGTAACAAAATGTGGAAACAGTCAAGGGGTCTGAATACTTTCCGAAGGCACTGTATGTAAATAAAAAATATATAATTCACATCAAAGTAAGCAGGTTGATCAAAAACGAATTGTTTTTACTATTAGTTCTAATTCTATACCTAAATTACCAGTGAAAAACGTCAATACTGCCTGAAGACAAGGTACTCAATACTGCCTGAAGACAAGGTACTCAATACTGCCTGAAGACAAGGTACTCAATACTGCCTGAAGACATAATGTTAATGTTAACATCAATGACTCGGTGAGCTGTAGGTTATAATGTTAACATCAATGACTCTGTGAGCTATAGGTTATAATGTTAACATCAATGACTCTGTGAGCTATAGGTTATAATGTTAACATCAATGACTCTGTGAGCTATAGGTTATCATGTTAACATCAATGACTCTGTGAGCTATAGGTTATAATGTTAACATCAATTACTCTGTGAGCTATAGGTTATCATGTTAACATCAATGACTCTGTGAGCTATAGGTTATCATGTTAACATCAATGACTCTGTGAGCTATAGGTTATCATGTTAACATCAATGACTCTGTGAGCTATAGGTTATAATGTTAACATCAATGACTCTGTGAGCTATAGGTTATCATGTTAACATCAATGACTCTGTGAGCTATAGGTTATAATGTAAACATCAATGACTCTGTGAGCTATAGGTTATCCTGTAAACATCAATGACTCGGTGAGCTATAGGTTATCATGTAAACAATACTGCCTGGCCACAGGCTGTGAGGTACTGAAGAAAGAAGGCAAACCAAGCACTTGGAGGAACCTAATAAAATGGAAGTATGTCTCTGTAGTTTACACTCCATCTCCAATAGAATTAGTGCTGAAATAAACAGTTCCTTTAAAGCTATTAACAGGTCTGCTAAGGCTCTCATCCTAATGTGCACCTGGTAGCAGAAATGGGCACATACAGGCAGATGCCCCCTTGCCAAAAAAACAACACAACAAAACACACCACAACAACAAAACACAACAACACACCACAACAGCAAAACACAACAACACACCACAACAACAAAACACAACAACACACCACAACAACAAAACACAACAACACACCACAGCACAACACACGACAACATAACATTATATTCCAAGTGTTTAGGAGTGTGCTTATGGAGGATCCATTTTGCCTTTTGGATCATAACGAATAAGATTACATGAACAGGGGAGACCTGATCCTAGATTCAGCACACTCTGAGATACGAAAGCCAACGGCTCCTAGATCAGTTGAGGGATTGGAACGTAGAAGGTATCCATGGTGCAGGGCTATAAGAACTGATCGGGAATAACATATATTTATTATATATAATACGTATTTATATATTGGAATAAGAACTGATCGGGGGATCAGTGGATTGGGACGCAGACAGTGCTTGTTATAGGGAGGTAGGCTGTAGTTATGGTGAAGATCTAGGATCAGTTTAGCCTTTTAGATCATAATTAATAAGATAACATGGACAGGGAGGAACCTGATCCTAGATAAAAACAGCTAGATCAGTGTGTTGGGTAAAGGAGCAGTGCTTGTTAAAGGGAGGTAAGCGGTAGTAGTCATGTTGCAGCAGGGAGGGTAGAAGCTGAAACTCCCCAGTCGGCACACAGTTCAGTTCCCGCTGTCTCAGGGATTATTTCCATCCTCGTCAGAACCATTTGTCAAGGGAACAGCTTTTGCCTTGAGGAGGACTAGCCTCCCCGTGCCTCCCCCTTAAAGAAGCCTCTCTCCCCCTGAAAGAAGCCTTTCTCCTCTGTCTCTCCCCCTCCCAAAGAAGCCTCTCCAAGTCTGTTGTGTTGCTGCTTCAGGGGGAGTGGCCGAGAGGTGGTGTCATTTTCACACCAGAGCCTTGTGGTTTGTTATGGAGGTTTGCCCCCTAGTGGCATATTTGTGGTATTGTAATGTTTTGACGTGAGATACGCTTCCAAGTAGGCTACTAAACCAATGCAATGATCAGAGATACTCCGATACCGAGGTATTATTCAAGTAAATTAAAACAGTGAAATTGAACTTGCAACTGGTTTCAGATCCCATGTACTGCGATCTCCTGCTGTTGTGCCCTTGACCAAGGCACTTATGTTGAAATGTGCTTTGCTTGTAATAAAATAACCCCATATTTCCCTCTCCTTTCCTCTCTAACCAGATGCCCCCTGGTCCTCGTCTGCCTACCAACGGCAGCCTAGTGGGAATGTCAGCCCAGCCCCAGTCCCAGGCCAACCAACGTCCCCCTGTCCCTGGATCCAACACCCAGCAGAAACCCCCAGGGCCAGGGAAGACCCAGGTCATGCAGAGACAACTATCCCAGCAGCAGCACATAATCAATGACTCGGTGAGCTATAGGTTATCATGTTAACATCAATGACTCGGTGAGCTATAGGTTATCATGTTAACATCAATGACTCGGTGAGCTATAGGTTATCATGTTAACATCAATGACTCGGTGAGCTATAGGTTATAATGTTAACATCAATGACTCGGTGAGCTATAGGTTATCATGTTAACATCAATGACTCGGTGAGCTATAGGTTATAATGTTAACATCAATGACTCGGTGAGCTATAGGTTATAATGTTAACATCAATGACTCGGTGAGCTATAGGTTATCATGTTAACATCAATGACTCGGTGAGCTATAGGTTATAATGTTAACATCAATGACTCGGTGAGCTATAGGTTATAATGTTAACATCAATGACTCGGTGAGCTATAGGTTATAATGTTAACATCAATGACTCGGTGAGCTATAGGTTATAATGTTAACATCAATGACTTGGTGAGCTATAGGTTATCATGTTAACATCAATGACTCGGTGAGCTATAGGTTATAATGTTAACATCAATGACTCGGTGAGCTATAGGTTATAATGTTAACATCAATGACTCGGTGAGCTATAGGTTATAATGTTAACATCAATGACTTGGTGAGCTATAGGTTATCATGTTAACATCAATGACTCTGTGAGCTACATATTATATGTTTGTATGTAATCACCAGATATTCAGCTAAAACACGACTTACAAAATGTTTGACTTTGGGAACACTTCCAGCTCCCACACGTTACCCTTTCAATCCCATCCCTGATCATCTCATGTTGTATTTGAACATGTATACAAAAGTCATTGCTGTTTCATTAACTCCTTCTGTTGTGTTTCAGGACAAAAGCAGTAGTAACCAGGATCCGTTTAACCGTCATCTAACCAGACCACCACCAGATTACAAACAGCCCAGAGGAATGATCCAACCGACAGGCCTTTTCACAGGTACATCATTCATTTGAATCATTCATCATTCATTGCTTCCAAGTACGAGAAAAACAGTATTGGTTCTTATTGGTCCTTGATTTTCCATCAGGCTTGTTTGTGTCTGTATGGGCCAGAGAAATGGAAAGAAGATAATTGAGTATGTCTGTTATTCAGTTGTCATAACAATCTATTACAACAGTATTAACCAACTCACTCATTGTGTATTCAGGTATGAATTCCTCCCAGTCGTTGTCGACCAACGGGCCTGACCAGATTGACCTTCCGTCCATGTCCTGCCACATGCCCAGCGGCCCGGGATCCAAGATGACCCCTCCTCCCACGGACTGGAGGTTTGGAAGCGGCCCCCACCCTCACCAGCTCCAACAGCACAACAACCAGACCAAGATGGGACTAGGAGTCGGAGGAGGACTCAACCAAAACAAATCCAGGTTCCCTGGTCCTCCCAACGGCCAGGGTAATGGGTTTGAGGTGGGTGGTCTTACCAGCGTACAACATCCCACAAGGACATCAGTAGGCCAGCAGGGTGGAGGGATGCCCAGCCAGGGGCAGGGTCAGGGGCTGGGGGGTGTAATGGGCTGGCCTCCTGGAGCTAAACCACCCATCATGGGCCCTGGGCCTGGGTCTCTTGGGGTGAGGCGGCTCCCGAACTCGCTCCAACCCCAGGGGGGCCAGTCCCGGTCTCAGCTCGACATGTCCAGCCACCAGTACTCTCTTGGCCCCCGGCACATAGGCCCCGGCCCACCCAACCAGGTGGCACCAGACATTGGCATGCTGCCTCCGAACCCAGCCCTCCGCAGCTCCACCACCAACCCCAGACCCAGTCAACCCATGATGCCTCCTCTGCCGGGGCTACCAAGCCTCAACCAGGCTTCTCCGGAGCAGAGGGTCCCCGCTGGGGGCAGCACCATCGGGGTCTTCCCACCACATAACCACAACCCTGGGGGCAGCACCATTGGGGTCTTCCCGCCACATAACCACAACCCTGGGGGAAGTTACCAGACCCAGAACCAGAACAGCCGGGCTGTTAACCGGTTGACCTTTGAATTCCTCCAGGAGGGAGACAACACCGTCCCAGGGATCAACACTGACTCAGACTTCATCGACTCGCTGCTGAAGTCCGGATCCGGCAACGACGACTGGATGAAAGACATCAACCTCGATGAGATCCTGGGCAGTCACTCATAAAGTGGGATGAAGTAGGATTGCATAAATAGGGCCCAGAGTTTTCCCCTGCAGCTTTCATGAATTGGGGTTCATTCCAGAGAGTTTTCCCCTGCAGCTTTCATGAATTGGGGTTCATTCCAGAGTTTTTCTCTTCAAGTCTCATGAATTGGGGTTCATTGCAGAGTTTTTCTCTGCAAGTCTCATGAATTGGGGTTCATTCCAGAGAGTTTTTCTCTTCAAGTCTCATGAATTGGGGTTCATTACAGAGTTTTTCTCTTCAAGTCTCATGAATTGGGGTTCATTACAGAGTTTTTCTCTTCAAATCTCATGAATTGGGGTTCATTACAGAGTTTTTCTCTTCAAGTCTCATGAATTGGGGTTCATTACAGAGTTTTTCTCTTCAAGTCTCATGAATTGGGGTTCATTACAGAGTTTTTCTCTTCAAGTCTCATGAATTTGGGTTCATTCCAGAGAGTTTTTCCATAGAAAGATTCCACAGGATTGGTGGCCAGTTTTTCCATTTAAAAATTCCATAGAATTGGGAGCGCTGGTCAGGAGTTTTTCCAGGTCAGGTGGGTCGTGTCGTGTGGAAAAACCTCCTGGCCTTAGTTATAGGCCAGCTCCTCTCTTTCTCCTGGTCAGGAAAAACTCCAGGATCCATCCTTAAATACAGATAACTGCACACGCAGAACTTTCCCCATACAGAGGCTGTGGATGGCCTTGGGTCTGTCCCAAACAGCACCCTATTCCCTTTATAGTGCACGACTTCAGGCCAGGGTCCATAGGGCTATGGAGAAAGTAGTGCACTATATAGGGAATAGGGTGCGATTTGACAGACAGCCCCATGGATGGCCATGAGTCAGAATTCACCTAAAGGGATTACATTTGCAAAGCTCTAAATCATTTTTTTAAACCCAATATATAATTTGGTATCTAATTGTACTTTTTGTGTATTCCTGTGAAGAAATATATATTATGTATAATAATATTTTAGTACTTTTTTTAAAGGTTCATGTTGTTTTCAAAGGTCTATTGAATAAGATCCTGGGAGATTCTCTGACAGCATCTTGAACTGATTCTGAATATATTCTATCAGACCTTTCTCTTTCCATAACATGGGCTTTGTCCAAAAATGGCACACTATACCCTACACAGTGCACTACATAGTCTTGACCTTGTAGTGAATAGGATGTCATTTCAGACACAGATATAGCCTGCGTTCCGAATGGCATCCTATACCCTACACAGCGCACTACTTGTGAATAGAGCCATATGGGCCCTGTACTACATGGGGAATAGGGTTCCAATCATGGTCAAGCACACTGTGAACAGGAAGTGGCTGTCATACTTCCAGACTTTGTCCCAAATCACACTGTATTCCCCTTATAGTGTACTACCACATAATGATGCTCTGGTCCAAAGTAGTGCACTATATAGGGAATAGGGTGCCATTTGGGACGTATCCCCAGACTGACCGTGGTGTTTCATGTTTCTGAACACCGTTTGTGAGCATGAGGAGGATGCTGCCTCTGCGGTCAGGTGTTTTTTACTGGTCCAATTATTATTATAACAAGCTTTTTGTCTGGGACTGTATTGGATGGCGAGCTACAAATCTTACCCATTTATTTTAGATTTTTGATCTAATATTTAATAATCTATTGGGAAAAATTATATGACAGTATAAACAATCTAATTAATAAAAATGTTTTAAATAAAGTGTGAGCCTTTGTACTTTCTGAAGCTGTTCCAGGAAAAGTGACAATCAGGATTATTTAGAGAGCTACATATTTTGTTAGATGTAGATACTAAAGCTTCCCACTGACACAGTGTGTTAACGTAGATACTAAAGCTTCCCACTGACACAGTGTGTTAATGTAGATACTATAGCTTCCCACTGACACCGTGTGTTAATGTAGATACTAAAGCTTCCCACTGACACAGTGTGTTAACGTAGATACTAAAGCTTCCCACTGACACAGTGTGTTAATGTAGATACTAAAGATTCCCACTGACACAGTGTGTTAATGTAGATACTAAAGCTTCCCACTGACACAGTGTGTTAATGTAGATACTATAGCTTCCCACTGACACAGTGTGTTAACGTAGATACTAAAGCTTCCCACTGACACAGTGTGTTAATGTAAATACTAAAGATTCCCACTGACACAGTGTGTTAATGTAGATACTAAAGCTTCCCACTGACACCGTGTGTTAATGTAGATACTAAAGCTTCCCACTGACACCGTGTGTTAATGTAGATACTAAAGCTTCCCACTGACACCGTGTGTTAATGTAGATACTAAAGCTTCCCACTGACACAGTGTGTTAATGTAGATACTAAAGCTTCCCACTGACACAGTGTGTTAATGTAGATACTAAAGCTTCCCACTGACACAGTGTGTTAATGTAGATACTAAAGCTTCCCACTGACACAGTGTGTTAATGTAGATACTAAAGCTTCCCACTGACACAGTGTGTTAATGTAGATACTAAAGCTTCCCACTGACACAGTGTGTTAACGTAGATACTAAAGCTTCCCACTGACACAGTGTGTTAATGTAGATACTAAAGATTCCCACTGACACAGTGTGTTAATGTAGATACTAAAGCTTCCCACTGACACCGTGTGTTAATGTAGATACTAAAGCTTCCCACTGACACAGTGTGTTAATGTAGATACTAAAGCTTCCCACTGACACAGTGTGTTAACGTAGATACTAAAGCTTCCCACTGACACAGTGTGTTAATGTAGATACTAAAGCTTCCCACTGACACCGTGTGTTAATGTAGATACTAAAGCTTCCCACTGACACCGTGTGTTAATGTAGATACTAAAGCTTCCCACTGACACAGTGTGTTAATGTAGATACTAAAGCTTCCCACTGACACAGTGTGTTAATGTAGATACTAAAGCTTCCCACTGACACAGTGTGTTAATGTAGATACTATAGCTTCCCACTGACACAGTGTGTTAACGTAGATACTAAAGCTTCCCACTGACACAGTGTGTTAACGTAGATACTAAAGCTTCCCACTGACACAGTGTGTTAATGTAGATACTAAAGCTTCCCACTGACACAGTGAAAAATAAGAAGCCTCCGCAGCAGTCAGAAGTTGTGGTGGATAGAAGAAAGGATTGGGAGGAGCCAAGGATCTTGACGATGCGTTTATCATTTTATTTATGTAGCCCTTTCCTGCAGTCAAATGACCTAGTGGCCTCATGGGTGGTATGTTTTTTATATTTGTCATTAAATCAACAACATTTACATTTTACATTTACGTCATTTAGCAGACGCTCTTATCCAGAGCGACTTACAAATTGGTGCATTCACCTTATAGCCAGTGGGATCACCACTTTACAATGTGTATATTTTTTTATTTTTTTTTATGTATTTATTTTTTTGGGGGGGGGGGTAAGGGGGGGAAGAAGGATTACTTTATCCTATCCCAGGTATTCCTTAAAGAGGAATATATAGTACCAGTCAAAAGTTTGGACACACCTATTCATTCAAGGGTTTTTCTTTATTTTTACTATTTTCTACATTGTAGAATAATAGTGAAAACATCAAAACTATGAAATAACACATATGGTATCATGTAGTAACCAAAAAAGTGTTAAACAAATCAAAATATATTTTATATTTGAGATTCTTCAAAGTTGCATTGATGACAGCTTTGCACACTCTTGGCATTCTCTCAACCAGCTTCACCTGGAATGCTTTTCCAACAGTCTTGAAGGAGTTCCTACATATGCTGAGCACTTGTTGGCTGCTTTTTCTTCACTCTGCGGTCCAACTCATCCCAAACCATCTCAATTGGGTTGAGGTCGGGTGATTGTGGAGGCCAGGTCATCTGATGCAGCACTCCATCACTCTCCTTCTTGGTCAAATAACCCTTACACAGCCTGGAGGTGTGTTTTGGGTCATTGTCCTGTTGAAAAATAAATGATAGTCCCACTAAGCCCAAACCAGATGGGATGGCGTATCGCTGCAGAATGTTGTGGTAGCAATGCTGGTTAAGTGTGCCTTGAATTCTAAATAAATCACTGACAGTGTCACCAGCAAAGCACCCCCACACCATCACACCTCCTCCTCCATGCTTCACGGTGGGAACCACACATGCGGAGATCATCCGTTCACCTACTCTGCGCCTCACAAAGACACGGCAGTTGGAATCAAAAATCTCACATTTGGATTCATCAGATCAAAGGACAGATTTCCACTGGTCTAATGTCCATTGCTCGTGTTTCTTGGCCCAAGCAGGTCTCTTCTTATTATTGGTGTCCTTTAGTAGTGGTTTCTAGGCAGCAATTCGACCATGAAGGCCTGGTTCACGTAGTCTCCTCTGAACAGTTGATGTTGAGATGTGTCTGTTACTTGAACTCTGTGAAGCATTTATTTGGGCTGCAATCTAAGGTGCAGTTAATTGCCAATTTCTGAGGCTGGTAACTCTAACGAACTTATCCTCTGCTGCAGAGGTAACTCTGGGTCTTCCTTTCCCGTGGTGGTCCTCATGAGAGCCAGTTTCATCATAGCGCTTGATGGTTTTTGCGATTGCACTTGAAGAAACTTTCAAAGTTCTTGAACTTTTCCGTATTGACTGACCTTCATGTCTTAAAGTAATGATGGACTGTCGTTTCTCTTTGCTTATTTGAGCTGTTCTTATAATAATAATAATAATATGCCATTTAGCAGACGCATTTTGTTCTTGCCATAATATGGACTTGGTCTTTTACCAAATAGGGCTATCTTCTGTACACCAACCCTACCTTGTCACAACACAACTGATTGTGTCGTCGGCAAACTTAATGATGGTGTTGGAGTCGTGCCTGGCCATGCAGTCATGGGTGAACAGAGAGTACAGAAGGGGACTGAGCACGCACCCCTGAGGGGCCCCCGTGTTGAGGATCAGTGTGGCAGATGTGTTGTTACCTACCCTTACCACCTGGGGGCGGCCCGTCAGGAAGTCCAGGATCCAGTTGCAGAGGGAGGTGTTTAGTCCCAGGATCCTTAGCTTAGTGA